AACACGCCTGACCTTCCCCGAGTACTAGGTTGAACTTCAGCTAAAAGGTGTCCAAATAGGGCTTGCGATATATCGTTGGAAAGCTATGGACACCAGTATCATGACCCAAGTTAAATTTTTGACAAAATGTAAGCGGTTTAAGAGCAGTTTTGAAAACTGTTTTTTCCTTGTACATAAAACGTGAATTGTATTTTCGATCGCATTTTTAAATCGTTCATCAGAATGAGGCAAATAATATGGCGTTGGAAAGCTGCTGCAAAATCGCTCCTTCCACATGTTGAAAGTTTTCTCTAATTCCCTATGGTTAAAACGTAATTTGGAAAATCGTAGAATTTCGCAAATGAAACACCCGAGTTGGTATTTTCGATTTCATTTCCAAATGGCCAATCCAATTGAGGAAAATGATATGGCGTTGGAAAGCTTATGAAAATGCGCGACTTTTTCATGTTAAAAGTTTTTTCTAATTCTGAACGGTTTAAAAGTAATTTAGAAAATGGTACAAGTTCCACTGAGTTTATATTTTCGAGCTAATTTTTTAACCGTACATCCAAATGCAGCAAATAATATGGCGTTGGAAAGCTTGAAGAAATGCGAAACTTTTTTTGTATATATTATTTCTCCTAATTCAGTATTGTTTTATGTCAGTTTTGAAAATGGCTAAAAACGTATTTTTGCCGTAATTTCTACAAACTTTATCGGAATGAGGCAAATGATATACCGCTAAAAAGCTACGAAAAATGTGAAACTTTTTCATGTTGATGGTTTTCTATGATTACTAGCTGTTTTTATGTAAGTTTGAAAACGGCGAGATCACTCGTTCTGCCTTTATTTCGAAATAGATTCTTCGAATATGCACCGCGTGAAGAACCTGGCCTTCTCGGCATGTGTACCTGAACTTCACTCTATTTTTCACGTGCTTCTTTCGCCCGCAGCTCTCCATCCACTGCTCGTAGCTCTCCATCCACTCACCGGAATTGAGCAAGTAATATACCGGTGGAAAGCTGATGTAAACACGCAACTTTCCCGTGTTGATCGTTTTTTCATACTTGCGACTATTTTAAAAGTTTTTCATCTCAAATTCATTCACTATAATAGTCGAACTTCCTGCTGTTTTCACGTTGAACTTCTGTGACGTATTTTCGTTTGTAATTTTCTCATCCATTCGTCAGTGTTATACAAATGATATTCCTTTTGTAGAAATCTCTCTCACAATAATTTTTTTAACTTTCTCCGGCCGAGGACTTGAAATTACACAAATAATATTCCTGCTGTTTTGAAGTAAATTATAAAATGACGAGATCATGATTTTTGCTTTCATCGTGAATGGAAAAGCACTGCGTGAAGTAATTGGACTTCTCGGGCATGTTTGTTTGAACTTCACTCTGTTTTTGACGTGCTGTTTTTTGCACTGCTTGAAGTAGTTGAACTTCTGGGCATGTCCGTTTGAACTTCACTCTGTTTCAACTTATTGTATTTTTCTTATATGAAATACGCACCATGTAGTACGTGAACTTCCGGTTGTTATCACTTTGAACTTCTCTCTGGTTTGAGATAGTTATTTTAAAACACAAAAAACAAATTTTTTATGTATTTTGGACATCTAAATACACGGTAAACTTCTCACACAAGAATTTTTTGAACTTTTCCTCACCGTGCACTTGAACTTCTAGCAACTTTTTTTTCATTTATGGGTTGTTTTTAAAAGTGCAAAAAATGGACTTGTGTTTTTTATTTTTTGAACAGGTAAATCCTAGGTTTTAATAAACCCCGAACTTCTCTGTTATTTCAATTTGAACTTCACCTTTTTTATATTTTTGAGTAAAGAATTGTATTTGATTTTTATACAGAAAAAGTCAAACATGGAAATACAAGGTGAACCTCTCTCGCAAAAAATTTTGAACTCCCCCGGACAGGGCACTTGAACTTCTAGCAACAAATTTTTTAGCCTTTGTTTTTTCATTCTTTTTTTCATACAAAATGCACACCGTGTAGTACGTGAACTTCTGGCAGTTATCAAACTGAGCTTCTCTCGGTTACGTGAAAATATCTGAGTTTTTTATAAGCATTGAACCGCTCTACCTTTTTTATTTGAACTTCATTGTGTATTTTTTTAGAAATGTAATAAACATTACACAACTTCTTGGTTATTTCGAACTGATCTTCTTGGTTTATTCATTAGTAACGGGGAAAATTTGAGTTTTTGTAATAAATATTGAACTGCTCCATTTTTTGAAATTGAATTTCTTGGTTTATTATTTAGTAACGAGGAAAATCAAAGTTTTTATATATAGAACTTCTCTATTTTTTTGTAATTTGCACTTCTTGATTATTTCTTTTAGTAACAGAAATATCCTAGTTTTGTAATAAATATTGGATCGCCCGTTAATTTAATTTGAACTTTTAGAGTTTTTTTAAATTCCAGAAACGATGAAACGTCATTTTTTATGATTTTTGAACTTCTCTATTTTTAAAATTTGAACTTCCTGTTTTTTATTTTTAGAAACTGTGGAATATCCACTTCTAAGTGCTCTTTTATTTTTGAACTACTGTATTATTTTTGTTTGAACTTTCTACCATCATGACTCGGGCAATTGCATGACTAAGTAAACTGTTCTCTTTTTGTCCACATACTGGAATATATGTCGCACATTTCATTTTGTGGCAACTAGGTTTAATGCTGCACATGTCATGTTACTTGAACTTAAAATGGCTCATAGTTTCTTTTCTACAAAATCTTCATGAAACTGAAAACTCTGTTGAACATGAGCTGGAAATGGCTCATACTGTAATTTACAAAAACCTTTTCCTAAACTAAAATCTCTGCTAGACTTTGAACTAAAAATGGCACACTGTGTGTTACAAAATGGCACATTATAATCTGAATCTGACCATTCTACTATTACAAATTCTACAGAGCATCCTACAAACGAAAAATACAACAACACAATGCTATGTTTGAAGAATTAGATATATGGTAGAGATTGTTTTCAACGGCTGCTCACATGGACCACCATCAGGTCCATTTTTTGAAGAGCTTCTGTGATGCTATGGCTGCTCAAATGGAGCACCGTCGTGACCAAACGAACGGGACAGACCTGCATTTTTTTTTCACATTTTTTGTTAAA